ATAAACAACAGTTGTAAAATTTGTGATTTAACTTATAGATTAGTTAAAGTTATTATACTACGTTTTGTTATTAAACTTAACTTGCGGGACTCGGTTTTGTTTTTAAAATTACCAACCACAAGAGAATTTTGACTAGTTTGATGTAACACATTTAACAGATATATTGCGTCGTACTTTGTTAACGTGTTCTTTGGACCTTTATTTCTATTATTTTTCGAAACTTAACGCTTAGCAAAAGACATGACACCTTAGAATTTCACTGGCATGCGGGGTTGTACTAATAAGAGGCATTAGGACTAAACAGTAAGCCTTGATGCAAAATTACATTTGCATGAAATTTAGAAATCCCAGTCCATACCCGTTTTACCACTTCTACCAGTTATCTACGGTTTCACAAGGAATAAGCTCAGGGAATGAGCTCTGGTGGGAGGGACTCTTTCCGTGTTATTGAGCTGTATATAAGACTAGTTGTTATTAACACCGTTACTATTAATAGCTTTTAGAGTATTCAGAATAGAAAAGACTCGAAGCATTTGAGATGTGGTACTATAGACGCATGTTGAGGTTTTCCTGGATAGACAGAATTGCCAACGAAGAAGTACTACATAGGGTAGGTAAAGAGCGCGAACTAGTCGTAACCATAAAACGTCGCAAACTAGAATAACTAGGTCATATAATGAGCAATGAACAACTATGTGACCTACTTCGGACCATACTTCAAGGTAAAGTGCATGGGAAAAGAGGTCCAGGACGGAGAAGAATATCCTGGCTACATAACCTGCAAAAGTGGTTTAACATAACCACTACCAGACTTTTCAGGGCAGCAGACAACAAAGTCAGAATAGCCATGTTAGTGTCCAACATCCGTAACGGATAGGCAACATAAGAAAAATTGTTTTGATTTTGACATTCTAAAAATAATTCTTACAACAAAAAATATTTTTCACAAAATAGGTCAGTTTGGCTATTATCATAAATTGTGTCACAAATGTATTTAATTACATTTTTTCAAATACGATAATTAGGGATTAATTTAATATAACATTTTAAAATCATATAATTTAGTATATAATATTATGTAGTTAATTATTTCATTATTAAATTAAACATAACTTGTATTGCACAACAAATCGAATAATTGATCACTGTTTATTTATTAAGAAAATACAAACAATTTACTTTGACAACTAAAATTGGGTTTTTTGTATTTGTTTGGCTATAATATCATATTATTTGTTAATTAAATATGATTATTTGTAGTCACATTTCATTTAACTAGCGTGCTGTATTTTATTCGATGCAATTTTTTTGGTGTATAATTACCTGCAAACTGTACGGATTATTGGTAATTTTAACAAATTAAAAGTGAAAATTTAAAATAAACTGTTATACAAAAAACTGAAATACCATGTCTGTTAATTATATTTAATTATGCTATAACTAAATATTTACCATACAAGCCACCAACAAAATGAGAGTAACACAGCAAAGGAACGAATTATCCTGGAAATAAATTTAAGTCATGACCACAATGAAGAAATACGTTGAAAAATTAAAGCAGAGAATGTTATACAACGTGGTCTTTAGGCCACTTAATACCATTTGCTAAAGCAAATGGTATTAAGTGGCCTAAACGCATCATACAGTGGAGATCTAAGTTACCATTGTCATAAAAGAGGTGTGTGTTAACCTCCAAAAATATAACTGGGCGATGCGAAAGGCAAGGGGGAAGACAATGGTACCAGATAGCAAGAGAAAAATTAAAACTTGGCAAATCAGCTCATTAGGGAACATCATAAACAATCAATGCAGTTATAGAAATAATGAACACTAGACAAAAAGACAAACAGTTATAAATGCTCAATGATTTATCCTCAATTAAAAATGAGATCCATAAAATATAGATAGAAGATAATGAAACCTCATTACTTACAAATTAGTATTAGTTTTAAGTAATTCCAATGAAAAGAATGTGTTTCATTGCAATAACACCATGGGAAATCTGTTCTTTTGTCTCGTACGTTTTGTATAAAATTATGAAATTTGAAAGTAAATTTTTAAGAAGTGGGATTTTTGTTTTGAATAGGAAGGAGAGAATGGTTTTGTTAAAAAAAAATTATGAAAGTGATTGGCAGATCGAAGGAAATCTTTAAAATCCACAAGAATCTGCATCTGATGTTTGACTTTTAGCTAGAGCACACCGAATCAAGAAGAAGAAATAAAGTCCACGGTAATTTCTTTTTTGAATGGTAAAAGAAAAGTTTAACTTGCGAGAAATCGTATAAATGAAAGTGGAAAGAGTTAGAGATTTAGAGAGCTACTATTTGAATGTGAGTTAGAAAATTTTAAAGTATAAAAAGTTTGCAGCATTTGTAAGTACCAACAAGCTACTATTCCTTGAGAGATTCATAGCTAAGAAGAGGTAGAAGCAGGTAAACGGAGATAAAAACGTTTATTAGGACCTGTTTTACTAAGAGTCAATGCCTGAAAGTCCTGGTTTTTGTGTAAAGTGTTTCGAAGGCTACCATAAAAAAATAGTTTTGTTAGTCTGGTGTTTTTCAAAATATCGTGTATGTTTCTCATAATTTTTGCCCTTATTAAATCTGTTTATGTTGCCTTAAGTAAATTTGTTTAGATTGCCTTGAGTAAATTTTGTGATGTTGCCTTGAGTAAATTTGTTTATATTTATTTTTCCCTTGATAAAGTATAATTATATATTTTTTTACCTTTATCATATAACCAGTTTAGTACTCCTATGTTTCTAAAATAAAAATAAAGATTTTGTTGTTAAATATGGTGTATGTTATTCGTATTATTGCTAAAACACCTCCGATCGGAGTATTCGACATTCTGTGAAAATATTAACGTTTGACACCGACCTCTTCGATAGAAGTCTAATTTTTATTCTCTAATTTTTGACAAAAAAATGATTTAGATTAACAAAACTACTATTTATATGAAGAGCGAAGAACAAATGAAACATAACGGCATCCGAGAATACCTCAAAATCAATCTTATATCTAGGTGTTTAACTTACCTAATTATTTAAATTGTTAATCTTCTTTCATATATATATATATATATATATATATATATATATATATATATATTCACGAATGATTTTCAATTTTAAGGAGCGGATGGGGGCGATGGTCATATATATATATATATATATATATATATATATATATATATATATATATATATATATATATATATATACTTAATATATATATATAAAGTATATATATATATTAGTTAATATATATATAAAGTATATATATATATTAACGTATGATTTTCAATTTTAAGGAGCGGATGGGGGCGAAGGTTTTTTTTGCGTTTTCGAAATCTATTTTATGGCCTGTCTAAATATGATGTTGGGCTAGAACTGAAGTGGTATCGGAATGTTTTACAGATATAAAATTTTCGTAAATGCGGTTATGGATTTTTCAGTTTGTCTGTCCTATGTATGTACGTGGGCAACTGGAACAAGTAATCTCGTAGATAACATAGTCTTGATTGGGGATTTGGTATTTTACGAAACTGAAGAACTTGAACAACTTGGAATAAGTAGTAAAGATGGTTTTGATGTTTAGAGGGTTAATAGTTCTACTGATCGTATCAGTTCCAGCTTTAAGCCGGAGATACACATGCCTGTTACTAGCACAATGGCATACCAGTAAAACACCAGCTGCTCTCCCCAAACTTGAGAATAATCGTTTTATTTTTAAACTTTTGATTTCAAAAAAGATTTCGTTAGCTTGATGAAAAAACATCAAATTTATTGCTATATATCGAGAACTAGATTGTCTTTTGACTTCTAAATCATCTCAAAAATCATTATTAAATTTTATACATTATCTATGGGTATTAGCAATATTTACTTGTTAAATTTATTCCGAATACCTTCCATGGATCCCCTTTTATTTTGTTGGAAATTCATAAAATTTAAATTACAAACATGTACTTTCTTTTCAGATGAAAACCACTCGATTGTTTACTAGCACTGGCATGTGTAAAAATTTACCTTGCTTTTTCGCCTTGCCAGTATAGGCAAGCGAGCTAATGGCATGCCAATTACTAGCAAATGGGTTTTCCGCTTGCCAGTTACTGGCCTATGCCAGCAACTAGCGCATACCATGTGTACCCGGCTTTAATAAAAGGTAGAAAGATTTTCCGAGGTGTCAGTCTCCCGAACTTCCAGATACTACTAAACTGAAGACTAATCAATGCACTCAAGTGCAAAAGTAAGCTTCTGACTTTTCAATACGAGTTTTTATTTCGTAGTTATGATCTCAGGTATCCGTAGTATTTCAGCCTATGTAGCATAGTTTCTCCAATATTTCTAACGGTTTATTACATATTGCAACTTGGGCGTTCATGTTGGTGTGCTTAGTTACGATCATTATTTTTGTCTTCTTACAACTTAGTTTAAGGCCGTATTTGTAATATGATTTTACAACATTATCTATCATTATTTGGAGTCTCTGCGTACTGTCTGCCAGCAAAAAAGTATCGTTTGCACATCTTATATTGTTCATAAGTTAGCCATTTACTTTAATATAGTATTTAATACCTACGTAATAAACACTTCTTAGAGTTATGTAACTAAACGCTCTCTCTATAATTTTTAGTTCATTTAAATTATAATAATATCCTATGTTCCAATTTTTAACTAGTACATATCTAATATTTTAAAATTAATTTAAAAGTTAAGTAAATATTTTAAATTTTACTTCGTATAAACCTAGTCTATAACTGCTTATACTCTGTCTTGATAACAATATTTTTAATATAATATCTATTAATAATATAAAAATATATCAAAGGGTTAGTAATAAATGCAAATTTTGTTATTTGTTTCATATCGTAAATAAAGTTTTAAAAACAAACTAGCTCCATGTTATCAACAGTGTATTTTATCTTATTTCTCCCATAATTCTGCCTTCAGGAAACCAAAACTCGTTACATATTCTTGGCATCTATCTATATTACAGATCTCCAGGCAGATGGCAATACAAAACCACTTCGAAGCCTCGGGTAACTATTCGAAAACAAAACAGCGACGAACCGGGAAACAATAACGAAACGCCGGGGATATCTTCTTCTCCGATGCCGCCGTCATCAGGGCAGGAAGTTCCCCACACTCCAATCAACGATGTCGTTACTCCCCAAGCCCGATCAGACGACGTAGATAGTCTTGAAGAATCCGAATCAATTGCTTCAATAATTGATGACGAAAGCGCTACGGCGAATAAACTTGACGTTCCTGCTCCTGTAGCTTTTCCAGTGGAAACTATTAAAGTCGAAATTTCCACCCCTTCTGATTTCGGGGATATTTACTACGAGATTGCGACCATCAAGTCACCCTACACGTTCCAGGTAAATTGTTTTTTTATTATTCATTTTGCATACATATTTTTTTAAATTTTCTATTTCAAACAATGATGAGCAAAAATATATGTAGCAGTAATGTTTTAACCGCTTGTAAGATATACAGGTTGTGTTTGCAATTTAAATAAACCATAATTTTAAAAATATTTTTATTATTTAATTTAAAAATATTTAGGTGCAAACTATAAGTATTAGATTATTATAAATTTGTATAAATATTATTTAATTTAAAAGTCAATATTTGTTTTAAAATAATTTTAAAAAATTTACATATTTTGCTAAAACATCAGCCTTTTCGAATGGATGACAATCTTAAACCTGTTAGTGTTTTTCAACAATAACAATATGTTTTTCTAAAACAAAGTTTTGTTATCTTTTACTTAATAAAATAACCAGTAAAGACCACCTACTTCCTGTGTTAGTTGAATACATATCTGTATTTTTAGAGAGAAATCTCTGAAAACTCGAGTGTCTATTTTTTTACTTATCTGATATTTATGCAAACTTTAAAAAAAGTGATTTTTAAATTTGTGATTATTTGTGACTAATTAAACTTGTGACATATTGGGTAATTAGCGGGCTGGACAGCTCAAAAGGTAGAGAGTAAAATAATAGGAGTAAAATTAGACAGTAAAAATATAGCACTAATCTTCTAAACTTGCTTTTAAATCGTCATCATTATCATTATCTTCGCCTTTATCACTATGCGTGGTGAGATTACCTTATTAAGTGTCTGTATAAATTTTTGTCTGCCTATAGGAGATATCCTGCCTATGCGTCTCTCATTAAGAGTTTTTGATCTTCCCCACCCACTTCTTCCATTAACTTACAGCTTCGCAATTCTTTGTACTCGGTAATGATTATTTCGACAATAAATAGGCTATAATCATGACTAAATATTCAATGTCGTCGATAGTATATTGCGGCTGAAGTAAATGTGAGGTATATAAAATTTTCCTTTTAGTATTATTAGAATATGTCTATCACACTGTACACCACAGGCATTGTTGACCACTGGGTACTGCATTTACTTTTCTTACCCAATTATTTTGTAATAGCAAATGGATATAGATCTAGATACGTAAATATACCAATTTTCACAAGCATTTTACAATTAAAAGTTATCATATGGTTTATAATATATCTACTGTTGACTGTACATTCTAGATATATGGTTTAGAGATAAACCTTTTTTTTAATTAATCATCACACTTTTTTCTCTTATATCTCCCAAATTGAAAAGGCCAGTTTAAAACCCAATACAATATAGGTTTAAAACTTTTCTGATGCTCCTATTTCGATTATTGCCCTCAAGCTTGAGCAAAATGTTTTAGTTACTCTACTACCACAGTCACATTTTAATTGAGACAATAATCTGTCAAACTAAAAAAGCCATCTCCAGTTAACCTTTAAAAGATGGTAAAGTAAGTAGACTAGAATCGCTTGATTTTTTAGAAACTCAAAACATCCTTAAGCCATTAAGAGAAAAAAGTTCTTAAAAGAACTTAAGTCAAATCCAAATGTAGTCATTTTTCTCGTTGATAAAGGAAATACCACCGCCAACCTTAACACTTTTTCTTATAATAATAAACTTTTAAATCTTATACTTACTCCAGATTATAGACCAATTTCTAATCATTCACCAACTTATTCAAAAAAAGCAACCAAAGCCGTTATCAATTAAACCTTATTTCATATTAACATAAAACAATCTCTAATTTCTGGTAAAAAATCTTTTAGAATACCTTAAACATACGAATTACCCAAAATTTACTCCTCTACGTCCTAATGTCATTGCATACAAACCGTCCAAAACGATACAAACTTTCGCCAAAAATGCTGTATCCTTCTTAAGTAACACCCTATCTTACCATCAGACATTCTAGTAAGCTTCGATATCGTTTCATTCTATACAAACATTCCTATAGACGAAACTCAATATTCTGAATACTAAATATAATATCCAGCAACATCACTTATCTTTCATTAAACGTTGTATGTCCGACACTAATTTTATCGTTCAAAATAAATTTTTCAGACAAATAAATGGTGCCCCAATAGGCTCACAACTATCTCCATTATATGCCAATAACTTTATGAAAGAATTCGAGATCCAAGTACTATCGACATCAATGCACAAATCCACAGGTTGGCTACGATATGTTAACGATACATTCGACATTTGGCCCCACGGCAGGGATGCTTTGGTGTAATTTCAAACCCTATTCTAGTCTATTCTAGTCTATTTGCAAGTATACATCGTAAATTCCAGTACACGATAGAGGTGAAAACTGATTCATTCCTACCGTTTATCGACGTTATTATAAATAAAAACCAATCCCAAAGACTCTCATCATGCGAAAGCTTTTCTTCTTTATATTAAAGGCGTTACTGACAAAATCGACATCATTTTTAAAACAAAAGGATTAAAGGCAACAATAAACCCCCCCTCCACAAAAACTTTCATCTCTTGTCTGATCAAAGACAACATTCCAAACGAACAACACGGAGTTTATGAAATTCCTAGTGCAGACGGCTCTTGTTTTTTTTTATAGGCCAAACAAATCATAGAATCTTATTTATTTTTGTTCGAAATTATGATTCAATTATAGCTCTAGATCAACACCATCTTCATACAGGTTACAAAATTGATTTTGAAAACTCCAAAACCACAAAATATCCTCCGCTCCATCCTCCAATTGAAATCCAGCCGTCAGAAATATTTGCGCCAATACCTACGCCTATATCCGCGCTAATCTCGATGCCAACTCTCACGCCAACCGCTATTCAATCCACGTCACCGTTGGCATTATAAATGTACTGTCCGCTGTTCCCAGTAGGAGTAATGCATTCATAAGTGATTATGTAGTAGTGTCTGGGGTATCGAGAGGCAGAGATCTTAAAAAAATTAATATCTTTAGATAGTCGAATACATACAAACGTAAACACGGAAAGTCAGCAAATGAGTCTTGCTATTTCCACTATTCTAGTATAAGCTACAAAAATCGCAATCTATTTTGGTTGACTTAAACGAAAACGACTGTTGTTTCCTGACTTTTTAAGCTGCAATTAGCCAATGAGCAAATATTCTGTAAATAACTTAAAAACCTTAAAAGTGTGACTCATGAGGTAATTGTACGATGGTTGAGACATCCTTTGCTGTGGATGTCGGCAATCATAATAGCTATTCGGACTTTAGAAGCTGCTCCGTGCAAAGTTTATTTGATGTACATCTTTACAATTCTTTCAGTTTACACCGTCATGATATTCTACGCCTCCCTATGCTTCCCTTTTCTAGGGTCTACCCTGTATAATCAGTTGGAGTAAGTTATATCTCTATCTATGTGTAATATGTCCGATATATATTAATTTTCATCACTACATTCTTGTCAGTATCTGTATATGCCCGTGCATGTGTTGTTCGTCACTAGGAAGCACTTTTGGTACTAATGGGATACCTTTTTTTTACACCATGGTCGTACAAAGTAACCGACTAATTTGCTAGGCTCTTTTAAACTTTAAAGTTGGTACAAAGGGATGTTCTTATTATTAAATATGTGAGGTACTTTTTACAATTTTTTTTTGGTTATATCATACAGTTTCTCTTCTGTATCATATTGTCTAACTATACGACTTTTTTCATAATTGGTTTTATTTCATTTGATTCTGACATACTAACCATCCTGTTATTGGATACGGTTCGTCCATCTTTTGTCTCTTTGCGATAAGTTTAGGTATTAAAGTGACTCACGTACTTTTTTCTTTGCTTTAAAGGTTACTTATGTTTTTTTTACATTGATTACATATGGGTTACTTATTTTTATAAATATATAAATACATAAATATATAAATTTTATAAATCCTATTGCTAATCTTCTCATGATTTAAATTGCTGACTACTATTTCCTAGGTTGTTATATTAAATGGAAGTATTTGTCAAATAGATGTATACCTACTTATACTAATGCTACTACGAAAAATTATAAATACTAAAAATAAAACAAAACGAAACTAAAACATAATTTTAACATTCTGTATTCATTACAATTTATAGCCATTGCATTAGTATAAAAGTGTTAAAATACACAAAAAACTCTCTCTCAAATATTTGTGTTTTATTTTTTTATGTATGTAAAATAAATTCCTTTAATATTTTGGTAAATTCACTTATCTTGTAAATTCACATTTTTCAACATTATGGCACGTCAAATGAACTCACGCTCGTCAAAATAATGCCCCCTATATTCAACAATAAATAACCCGATTAGTAGCCAGTCTTTTGCCATACCTAGTTTACATTTTTGATAAAACGCGATAAGAACTTTGCTTTCGGGGTTTTGGTTTCCCACTCTCTTATGAAACAGCGGATGGCGATGGATGTGACGGATCGAGTTTGGCACAGTGAGTCGAATCTTTTGAAATTCTAGGTTAATCCGTATAAATCGTTTGTACTGCGGTCTCTACTCAAAGTGGAAACAGTTAGTAAAGTAGAAAAACGAATTATATGCGAGTGAGTCTAAAAAGTTGATGAATGTAAAATATTTGGCTCAGATAATATACTGGAAGAGTCTAAAGTTCTACATTAAAATATAAAAATTAAGTAGAAGTATATATATTGTTAATTTAATCATGTTATCTCGTATTTTAAATAGTTTCAATCACGAAAAGACTTTTAAATAAGAAAATAAAATTATGAAAGTTATATTTTGATTCCACTCAGGATTAGCTTGTGCGCGGATTTAGTAGTAGAAACTACCACATTAAGTCCCTCTTCTTCTTCTTCTTCTTCTTCTTCCTTCTTCTTCTTCTCCTTTTTCTTCTTCTTCTTCTTTCTATTCGTTCGTCTTGTATGTAGGCTTTAAAGCATGTTTATTCTTCAATATTAGCCTCCTAGATTGTTTAAATTGTCGCACCATCTTTTTCTTGGTCTGCCAATACTTCATCGTCCATTTATTGACTTATCTCGCTCTATTCATACTATTCTATCATCTGCCATTCTACTGATGTGTTCGTTCCACTCCTGTTTTCATTTTGTCACCCATCCATTTGTCTTCTATATTGCATGCTCTTTTTATGTTTTCTCTTCTCTCCCTATCCAATAGACCTTTTCCTGATGTTTGTCGGAGTATTTTCATCTCTGTTGTTTCTAGTAATCGTCTCGTTTTATATGTGTCAGGTCTTGTCTCTGCCGTGTATGTTAATATA